GTGTGTGTGTGTGTGTGTGTGTGTGAGAGAGATGGAGAGAAGGAGAGAAAAGGGGGAACAGACAGAGGAAAAGAAAGACACAAGTGTTGGGTTTCCTTTTTTCAATTCAGAGGCTCAACTCCTGCTCTTTAATCTAGAAAAGTGGGTGAAAGGAGCTGGAAAGCGGAGAAGATAGCTGGGAATTTGAGCTGCTGACAGCTGTTTTTTTTTTCTTTTGTTCCTTCTCTTCTCACCCCTCTTTTTTATTGTTAGCTACAACATCATTTACAAACAGATCTAACATTTTTTTAATAAGTAGRAAAACAAAGTGGCTATTCAACTCTGCTTTTCCACCTTTGACTGTATTCACATCTGAAAATCTCAATTTTGACTCTCTTCCTGTGACGTCTCTCTCTCACCACATCCGGGTTTGACTTCACAAGATGCTGACATACTTACAATTTAACGGTTTTCCTGTCAATTTTCAGCCTGCTCTCACATGCAAACACATGCACTCGTGGGATAAAATTGATCACAACCTGTTCATACAAACACACACACACACACACACACAGTCTGTGTGATAAATAATTGCATGCCATGGTAGGCTACTGTCCAATCTGTGGAAAGCCTGTCTACTTTGGTGAGTCTGACCTATTTAAAATTTTACACGCCTGTCTTTCTCTGCCTTGCTTGTCATTCTTTTAGTTCTCTATTTCTTTCAATTTTTATGGTTAGAAATATGTTTTGTCTATATAACTGAAAACAAGCAGTAAGTTATTTCATAATGAATATAAGGAACAGAGTATCTAAAAGGTTGAAATTATGCTTTTATAACAATAAATGTTTAAAATGAATTCTATTAACTACAACCTATTTTATTATACCAGCATGATTATAAACATGAGAGCACAATCATCAATGTTACAACTAAACTGTGCTTTTTCTTTAAGAAAATTATTAGTTAGAATTATTGCTTGTTGGTTTTACATTAAAAAGGACTTTTCATCCTTTTTGTCACCTCCTACATGTCTTTGAATCACTTGCTCACACATATTCTTAATGACAACAGGATGTGGGTTAAAACGAGACACGTCTTCTTGCTGCTCAGAGTTTTTTATGTAAACCTCAATAAGCTGCACAGCATCCAAACATTCTGGGTCGTGAGGAGCGGATTGTTGTGTCAGGTGGGGTTACACCCTGGATAGGTCAAAAAGACCACAGGAACACATAAAAAAATAATAATCTTCTCACTCGCACCAAGAGATGATTTACAGTTACCAATGGACCTAACAAGTACATATTTGGTCTTTGGGAGGAAACCAAAGTACCTGAAGAAAACCCACGCGGGGGGGGAAGACACATGTAAACTCCACCCAAGACGGGAGGAGAACCTGCAACCTAACCACTGCACCGCCCTTCCACACTGCAGGATACACGCCTGCTTTGTTCTTTTGCTGCAAGTTGGACTCGCTGTTCCGCGTGCCCAGAAAAGGTTCAAAATGTCCGATGTGACCTGGCCTACTTACCTCTTTTTTTGCCACCATCACAGTGTCTGGCCTATTTGTGCCGATGAGGGTAACAGTCTGCACAGTCTGAGCCTCACACTTGAATTTTCTCCAAATTGAATGTATTTTTGACTTACTCTAGCTTTTGTAACGACAAAAAAAAGAAATGGACTTGAAGTTGCTTTAATGTTCAGGTGCAAAAACCCTCCTTTGATTCTCCAGCTGAGCATTGAAAATTGTTTCTTATTTGTCTTTGCTGCAGGTGAGAAGAAGAGGTCCTTAGGCAGGGACTACCATCCTCTCTGTCTGAAGTGTCAGAAGTGCAACAGACAGCTCACGGCTGGACAACATGCTGAGGTGTATGCAAAATAAATGTTAAAAAAATATGTAATTTACACATTAGCGAARTACTAATTGTTGAATCAGTAGAATAATGCAGTATGCTGGTGATTGTGTTTCAGTATGATGAGAAGCCATATTGTTCACACTGCTATATAAAGATGTTTGGGCCGAGAGGTATGCAGCCAACTCACTTTGGAAACATGCACACATACAGTATAATGACATATTACACACATGCAGTTTCTGATATGACTCATTCTTGACAGGTAACAGGTGACATGTCGCCATGGTGCAGCATCATCATCCTCACCACAGAAACCTGACGCAGCAGGAATGGAAAAAGAAGAAGCAATTTCAAAGTCAATTATATTAATTAATGAAAATGGACTGAAATCTGATTTYGAGAAAACTTTAGCTTCATTTAAATCATTTTATATAGACAAAATTAAATATTTATAAATGTCCCATGGCTACCTGATGCACTGTGTGTTTATTCTTTTGTTTCTCTGGTAAACAGTTGTAAAGTTATAGGTTTTGTAAATCGCCTGTTTTTATCCATTAAAAAGAGATTTTTGTTTCACTCAAAAAACAGATTTAGGAATTTACTTAAAAATGATGTCAACTGGTTCCACTCAACTGAACTGAGTAAAAGGAACACATTTACTTTACATTTATTTAATTTATTTTTGTGTAATTTCTCTAAGTAAATCCACTACCTGTTTAATGAGTGCTGGTTTATTTTACTTTAGATTTTATAACTTTGTTTGCACAACTCATCTGCATGGATAAATAAATCTAGATGAGTTTTATTAACATTTGGGGATTTTATTCTGCGTGGTCACACTCTTGGTTTTTCCTGTCAAAAAAACATGATTAAAAAGGACTGTGAAGCATTAGGCATATAAATAATCTTCAGTAAATGCATCTTTTGTCTTTAGCAGCTGATCGACTTTACATTTCAATTTAATTTAAGATTCAATATTTGTCCAGTTCTACCTTTTACTCACACAAACTGCAGAAGGGGTCCAGTCTACAGGACTCAAGTTTCCAAGTGATTTTCTGTGAAGTCAGCCAAGTAAATATCTGCATTTCAGGATTGAGTAAAAAAAAAGTCCTTGACAGTAATCTGTGATAAGCATAAGTTTTACGTAAACGTGTGAATTTAAAAACAAGTTGTATGAGAACATGAAGGASAGAATCTGAAATGAAAGCAGAAATACATAAAAGGAGCAAACAAAACAAATAAATACACTTAAAATGCACCAAGTTTTTAAAAAAGAACTTTACCACATGTTTTATTTAATTGACCATCATATTTATTTTTTTCAAGCTTCCAATAAATTTCATAATTTACATTAAACTGATTTTAAAATATATATTTGTGTTTTTTGTGCATTTGTGTCTTTTAAATAATTACATTTAAATATTGTTGTACTTTTTTTCTCCACAAGTCTTTTTATTTCCATGTGTTACTTTTAAATTTCTCGTTCTCCTGTATTTACATTCCCTTATAAATTTCTGCCTCGTTATGCTAATAAGGTGGGCGGTTCTTCTTGGGTCAGCTCCTCTCCAAGTCAAGAGACAGGAAGGAGCAGGATCCATGTGCAGATCTACTTGTSCTGCCTCAGTTTAGCTTAAAGTTTAAAGTTTACTTCAAAACAAAGGCGACACGAAAAACATAAATTTGTGCCTTTGTTTTGAACTAAACTTTAAACTTTAGGCTAAACTGAGGAAATGCAGTTCTGCACAATCAATCCTGCTCCTTCCTGTACGTTGACCAATAGAAGAGAAGCTGACCCAAGAAGGACCGCCCACCTTATTTGTATAAGTAGGGTAAAGTAAAAAAAGGAGACAGAGAAATGTAAAGGCAACACATGGAAATAAAGACTTGTGGGAAAAATTATATAAAAATGATTAAATATGATCATTTAAGAGACACAAATGCAGGTAAAAGGAAAAAGAAATATATATTTTAAAAATAAAATGTAAATTGTGTTCTAATATGTAATTTATTACAACTAAGCTGGAAAAAAATAAGAAGGTCAATTAAATTAGAAAACGTGTTAAATTTCCCCTTTGGTGCAATTTCAGTGAATTATATTTATTTATTGATCCATTTATAGATTTATGCTTTTATTTCTRACTATGTCAGTGTTGTTCCTCCACACTTTTCAGCAAAATATGTAAATTTGTTGTGTTCATGAAAAAAAGTAAATAAAAACATCAGTTTTAATTTATATTAATATTATCATAAGCAAAAAAAATTAGGCCGAGAACATAAAAGTGAACAAGGAATGAAAACAACAGAGACGGTTAAACCGTCTTGTAGAAAAAGCTCTGACACATMTGTGGTGGAATTTTTGGCTTCACAATCATTATCCTGCACGCTGGCATTTTTGGACACATGGGGTGGTAGCATTCACTCAAACGCCAACAAATACTCTAATCACAGATATCACACATGCAGATGAGGAATGAGTTGAGCTGCAGGGCTCTCCCTCATCAGGCAGCCAAGAGGAGAGGAGGAGGAAAGAAGCAGGGATGGATACGGGTGGTTGCTGCTGGCAGAGTAAACCACATCTTCTGCCAGCAGATTCTGCTGGAATGGATGCTGCAGTGAGAGAAGACACATCTCTCACGCACACGTGCATTCATGTAGCATGCTTTGACTGCTGCAGGGGCTTGTCACCCAGTGGTGGCTAAGGTGCAGAGCAATAGATATTTGATGTCCTCTCCTGTCAAACGTCATGCATCACAACAGTCACATCTCTGCTTTTCATCCTTGAAGGAGAATTGGGTATTGAAATGAGAAATGAAGAAGGTCGAGAATGAAATTGTGCAGAGAGGAGACAGCCAAAGGAAATGAGGTAATGGGATTAGTCTAAAAAAAAAGCTTCCATGTTTCTCTCCTGTCCATTTTAGTCTCATCTCCTTGATCGTTTCCCTCCTTCCTCCTCTCTCCCCATGTCTCCTTCACCTCCTGTCCCTCTGCGTTGATCACATGACTTCTGGGATATCAGCTGGCTGACTGCTCATTTGCATGAGTTTCTAACCTGTCTTATTAAAGAGACTAGTGGTTGTGGAAGGACTGAGCAAAAGTCTTGAGCCAACCCCACATACCTTTGCTTTCAATGAGCAGCTTTGTTTGTAGCTTTATCAAGCGCTTCTGTGCAATAGTTCCTTAGACTTTTACAATGTTTTTATAAAGTTTTTTCTTGAATGTTAGCTGCATTTTTACTTATTTCCAGGTAGTTTTTCTATGTGACCATTTGAAACCACTTCTCTCTGACCTATGTAACTCATTCAGGTAAAACAGGCCCTTAAGCTCAGAGAGGAAACTTAGCAAAAGCCCAGTTTGAAACTCTAACTTTAGGCACTTTACCTGTTGCAAAATATCTTTTGTTTTCTTCTTTTTTGTTTTTTTGTCAGTGGATAGTAACTTTGAATCTTGGTTGCAAAATTTAGAGTTTTGCATCTTTAAATGTTTCACAGAAACATAACACACAACAAAAAATAATTAGGTTTTGGTGCCAAGGGCCTAAAAATATAATGTAACTGCACATATGCTAAGCTGTGTGTTTTTATAGACTCATCCTATGAGCTTATGTTCTGTTTTTGTTTGAATGATTCATAGTTCAGTGTTAAGTAGCTTAACAAAAAGAAAACCAGTTTTTCTATTACCAGGCCTATTCACCTGTAAACAGTTTGACTTGAAGGAGCAGTTAAAGCACAGATCAATGAACAAGAATGAGTTTCCATTTCTGCGTGCACTGATTGTTCTGCAAAACACGCAGAAGAACAAAACAATCTCCAGGATGAAAGCTTTGTTAATACACACGTTTTACCCTATTTATAATTTTTGCTGTGAAATAGACCTACTGTTAGGTAAAAGGACCAGACTTTAAAAAGGGAAAGGACAGTCATTGTCTATTTTTTAAAACATGAACAAAAAGCCTGGGGAGCTGCTGGCCAATGCCATCATGAAATTACATGAAACAAACAAAAAAAAATTGATTTTTTATAAACACCCCCCCCCCCCAAAAAAAAAAAAAAAAAAATCAAAGGTGAATTTACTTCAAATGTTAAAAGCACACAACGCTTTGTGAATGTGTGTAGCTTCGCACTTGAGTTCATTAGTGTATCACTGTCGCCATCTGTTGGCAACAAATGTTAATTACAACCTTTTTTAATCGTTTGAGTGGATGGACATTAAACGCACCAACACGTTTGTCTGTTTAATAGCTAGTTTATGTAACGCATTTGTCACTTTTAAGATTTTAGTTGAATTTGAATAAATGTTTATTAGCCTACCTAGAAAGAAACTGACGGTGCACAAAGAAGCAGCTTATTTATTTAAAAATTTATTTGTATACATATCTTATGTTTTAAATGTTATTATTGGAACGACAGGTAGCACAAAAACCCAGATCAAGAAATGTGTAAAATATCTATTTTTGCAAGCTGTACCTGCGACTAAAAGAGTGCTTACGTGTTTAAATACCTGTAGCAGGATTTCCGAGTAGTACCTGAACACAGCTGAGCGCAGGGTTCGGTGTGCGCAACACCGAACCCTGCGCTCAGCTGTTGCGCATGCGCACAGAGTTAATAGGAAGCAGGATAGAGGCGTTTTGTGGACCAGCTGCTTTCGAACATTTTAATTCGGGTTTGTCAGCCTGTAAACATGGACATTTATGTAAAATGAACGATTAACAACGTGGACGGAAATTTCGAGAAGTGAACAAATATTTAAGGAGCGACAATATGATGTCAGAGTGCGATCCGACAGAGACTGAAAGCGGCTTGCCCGCACTGCTGGACACCGGGGCGATGGGGTTGCCTGACTCGGAGAGTAATTTTCACTCGTCTACGGGCCCCTCGAAGGTATCATTCGATGATAACCGAATAGGACTTGGGCTTGGGGCCAACCCGGGAGTTGCCGTTCGTATTTCGGGCTCTTGTGAAAGCGTTTTGACCGAGCTGGAGACCGACGGCTCGGGCGAAGAGGCGCTGCTGTTACCGTGCCTGACAGGAAGCTCGGCGTCTCCGAGAGGCGTCCGAGACAAGTGGAGCAGGCGGAACAGACACAGCTCCTCTTCGGATAAAGACACTCTGGCCTCCCCAGGTAAAGTTTTTAGAAGAATAGGCAGTAATACCAGGTCATAACAGTACTTTTCACTGTGTGACATATGGCCATTTTTAGTAGAGATAACAGTGACTGCAACGTGGTCAAATCAATGTATTATGTAATCCTTATTAATCAAACATTGGGTCTCTTCACTTGACTTCCTGTTAGTGGAAGAAAGAAAACTTTGGGTTCTTGAAGCCTCATTTTTGTTATATTTTTCGCTTTGACCCCCATATTTTTATGGGTGTGTAGGTTATATAGAAAAGACCAAAGTTACATCTTAACAACTTTTATATATTGAACTGTCTCTTGAATTTGTGGCCTAATCCAAACTGCATTAATCTGTGAATGCCGTCACTGTGAAGTCCCATAGCTCACACATAGACATGTATTTCACAGCTTCCTGTATGTTGTGCCAAAACACATTGATCATGCAGATGTCTTCCTGCATGCAGCTGAAACCACATAAGGTTTTACTTTGTGTATTCAAAGCACAGGGCTTGTTTGAGAGGATTACGAGCAAAAGATTGATGGAGAAACAAAACCAGGTGATCCAGTCACCATGGGAGCAGCACATTCAGATTTAAGTGTGATTTGGATTTAACAACCATGTCTTTAATGCTGCCCACCTCTTTCCTTTGCATAATGAAACACGATTGCCTGTGTTTTTACACTGTGCTCAGTGAAATGTTGCTGCTGAACCATTTTTAATCAGGGTAGAGATCTAGGCTACACGTAGACACAAAAAAGCCTGGAATGATGGCTATTTGTGTCCCAGACCCTGTGGCCTTTTAGGACAAATAACACAAATGACTAAATTGCTCCAGAAGTTTGCAGTTTTTCTATCTATGCTGATGATGGCAAAGTAGTTCTTTAAACATATTTACTTTCACTCTGACTTCCTGTGGATTGAATCAAATGGAAAGAAGGAGCCAGAAGAGAAACATAGCTGCTTCCTGCAGTCACACTTCACAATGATGTACATTATGATCCAAACCATCATCATCAGTATAGTTTTGTAGAGGTATTCTTCATCAAACAAGATGTTTAAGCAGATTCTGTCACTGGAAATTCAATAAAAATGGTAACATGTACCTCTGCTGTACACCAAAAATCTTGCAGCTTAAATCAGAAACTGCCCGTGGCCTTTCTTTTATTGTCTCAAGTTAAAAATCTTAAAACATAACTGGAGTTCAGAGCACAAATGGCTTTCTGTCTTGTGGCAGGATGTCTTTTGCAAACATGAAACTAAACCAAATCTACAGTGCCTGGAAAGTATTTACCCCATTGTATGCCTTTTTGCCATCATAAATCACTCATGGTCTCATCCATTGATGAATATTTTAATAGATTCCGTGTTTATGAGTAAAGTTGATTTATTGCTGGTTTAGATAACCATTTTTCAGGGTGAGGGGGGTATGCAAAAAGTCCAGGAAGTCTCGATCAGGAAACTAACACTGTTTAAAAAACCTAATTAAAAATACTTTATTTGTGAATCTGTTTGTTTAAATGCTTAACCATTTTCACAAATCACTTATTTTTYGTTCATTCTCTTGACTGTAAAAATGTCTTGAAAGCTTGGAGAGGCATTTATTTGTGGTCTGTGTGATGTATTCTGTGTAATAACTAGCTGCTTTGGTTGGCTCACTTGCAAAAATTGACACGAGAGGATTATTATTCTGGAGGCATTAGTCTGAGCAAACCAAGCTTAATAATCCAACCGAGTGTGGAAGAAGGGATCTCGTAGCTTTTCCAAATTCTGGCTCGCTTTAGGAAAAATATTGTAAACCACGTATGACAGTGAAGCTAATCGTGGACTTTGTGGACATGGRTGACTGATGGCCACGTCTTACAGGGTTGTGTAAGAACATGATGTGACCTTTGGTTGAGACTTGAATAGATTTTTTTTCCTCACTGTGTGGTTCAAATACTTTTATAACACTACATTGATTTGGTTAGTTAGTTTGGCATAACTACAGCGATTAGAGGACTTTGTTAATAATTTAAAAAAATGCTTATTAGGGATAGGGACTAGATAGGACACGACACATCAAATGAACTAAAAACATAAAAAAAGTATATCTGCTATCACCTCTTTAATTTGCTTCATGCTTCGGCTGACTGTCACAGAGCATATGGAGGCTCTCTGTCAGCAGACTCTTCTGCCCCTTGAAAGGTGGAGAAGATTCAATGTGTCATGCCACRTGAGCGGGTTTTTATCTGATGAATAATTATTAGTTTGTGTGTCTTATTTTGCTGTACAGTAAAAGGTTCTTTGTAACTCGGGCAAAGAAAAAGAAAAATGAATAGTGTATAACTCCAAACATGTGTTAAACAGGACTGTTTACCTGGTATCCTGAAGGAGTAACTGATGGTCCTACATACTGAAAATAACCACTTTTAATATTAAATCTGCAGTTTAAAAATACATTTTGTAAATGCACTTAATTCATACTGTAGTCTTTCAGAGGCAGCTTTCTGGTTCATTGAAATGTGATACACCTGAATCTAAGTGCTTGGCATTAAATGCCTAATGTTAAAAGCTTCAATAATGGATCTTTTCATTTGTTTTTTTTCTTTCTGGAGAATTTTTTTTTTTCAAATCAAGAGAACAAAATATAATCTAACTTTGTGTTTCTGCCAGGTACAAACAGCGGGGATTTGAACCATTTCCCCGATGATCTAGAGTTTGCAGAAATTATCCAAAGGGCTGAACAAGCTATTGAGTGTGGCGTCTTTCCGGAAAGGATTTCCCAGGGATCCAGTGGGAGCTACTTTGTCAAAGACCAAAAAGGGGTTAGTTCAAATACACTTTTCTCAAAATGCAAGTCATACAAGAAAACTAGTATTTCCTAACTGACAACACAGGATCAAAAGAAAAAAAATATATACTGTATACTGTAGAGAGATGTTTGTGCTAATGTTCAATATTGACAAGCTGACGATATGCCAGCAGCATCTGTTTCCTTTTATTTTTAAAAGTTTATCTTTCTGCTCAAGTATTTAGTTAATGTTTTTTTTTTTACTTTTTTTGTCCTGATTTTTCTTTGCAGAAAGTAATTGGTGTTTTTAAACCAAAGTCAGAGGAACCTTATGGTCACCTGAACCCAAAATGGACCAAATATTTTCACAAGGTTTGCTGAAGTACATTTGTCATTTTATTTTTTTAAGCAAGCAGATAAAATCACACATTTTTATAATGAGCTGTTTAGAGGTTCGCTTCACTTTATTTCTGTTTTTAATTTGCTAGACATGTTTTAAGATGCTCTGACATGACTTTTATCTGCATAAGGTTTGGACTTCGAAAACATGACAAACCTTAAAAACGCAATTAACTAAACACCTACATCATCATATCATGTTTAAGCAACACAAGTGCAAAACAAATCTCATTAAAACGGTCAACACAGAAGTTATCAGTGGAACTTTTAAACGTATTTCAGGTTGTCTTTCACTTTCTTGTTAGAACACACCTCTGCTGTGAAGTATGAGGGAATGTTAACAAACAAACTCTTTGCACATTCTGTTTCTCTCATTAGCTCTGCTGTCCGTGCTGTTTTGGCCGCGGCTGCTTGTTGCCCAACCAGGGTTACCTCTCAGAGGCTGCAGCCTCGCTGGTCGACACTAAACTAGGTCTTGGAGTCGTCCCAAAAACCAAGGTACAGCTGTGCCTTTATGTTGTTGTACATGGTCCTCTCTATGAATATCTAACATGGAAAACCCTTCTGTAGTGGTCACAGCTAAAMGTGGGTTATTTTTCTTTTGTGTTTTTATCAGGTGGTGTATTTGGCAAGTGAGACATTCCATTATAATGCTATTGACAGAGCAAAGTCCCGAGGAAAGAAGTACGCCTTAGAGAAAGTCCCAAAGGTGGGGCGACGCTTCCACAGAGTGGGCCTCCCTCCAAAGGTAACACTGTTATACTTTATCTGATGTCACAAGCTTTTCCTTTTTACTTTTTCAAGAGAAAGTTCAACTATTAGGGTTGTATTTCCTTGAATATATATTTTTCCTGTCTCTCTGTGTGTAATATACTSAGGATCTATGTTTCTATAAGGCCCATAAGAATACAGAACAAAAACTCTTTTTAGTCAACCTACACAAACAGTTTAAATATCAAAATAGATTTTTTCCACACACACTGGCTGCTGCGTTGCCACACTGCTCTAAAAGAGTCGACTCTGTGAGCTGAGGGCGAAGAATAGCCTCGGGTGCAGCCTGCAGAGGACTATAAAATAAATATTTGAACGTGCTCTATTTGTGTTTGTGGAATAAATGAGTTTATTCAAACAAAAAGGTCAGATGAAGCAGAAATGTCAGCTCTGCTTGAATGCATTGCTTTGCAGGAGTTTTTTTAAACACTGACTCTACCTCTTACTTTGATCAAGTGTAGCTTTTTTTTATAAGAAACATGTTCAACATCATTTTGCAGCTGACTGACTCACATCTCCATTCCCGTCACTTCTTTTAGACTTAAAAACAAAGCTTGTTTAAAATAATGCAAGAAGCTTGCCTCGTTCAAGTACTTTCCAAAAACTTGATGTTTCAGTAAAGCGTGGCTTTTTGTTTTTTAATTATATTTTTTTTGGATGTTCTGTATAAATGTGACATGTTTGTTTCCAGGTGGGCTCATTTCAGCTGTTTGTGGAGGGTTATCGTGAAGCTGACTACTGGCTGCGGCGCTTTGAGGCTGAACCTCTCCCAGAGAACATCAGGAAGCAGCTGCAGTCCCAGTTTGAGCGACTGGTTGTGTTGGATTACGTCATCAGAAACACAGGTGAGCACGGAGGTATTTACACCGCTGATAGTTCTGTGGTCTGCCCACAACTTTCCGTTGATCATTAACAGGAAACAAAGTTGTCTAAATGTTTTAGTAAATATACAAATAAACTTGCTGTTATCATCACAAGTGTTCAAACATTTGAGTCCTTCTCTCACATTTCAGCTTATTGAAATTTCCCTTCACTTTGCTGAATTCTGTTTTTTTTCTGTGTCTTTCTCTTCTTTTCAGATCGAGGAAATGACAACTGGTTGATCAAGTATGAGAAGCCAGGAGAAGGAGATGAAAGGCAGGAGGTGAGCTAAAAATATGACTGAGATGAAAAAACCCTTCAACCCGCTTCAGGTCTATTAAATACCTAAATATACTTCAGCTGCTGTGTGTTATGAAATTATTYTAGTTTTTATTTGTCCAAACAATATTTTCCATATATTCCAAATAATGAGCTTAGGCATTTTAGTCAAAAATAATTAGCTTAACGTGTTGTTTTCTGATACTCGCTGTAGGAAGCAGGGTGGACAGACAACAGTACGGACTCCTGCATCAAGATCGCAGCGATCGACAACGGCTTGGCCTTCCCTTTTAAACATCCTGATGAATGGAGAGCATGTAGGTTTTTTATTTACTTTATTAGTCACTAACCCTGTCATTGCTGCTGTTTAAAAACAATAATTATTGTTTAACTTGGAATAATAAATCTTATTGTTGTAATAATTACATATAAAAAAAATACCTTCTTGTGGTTTTATTCATTAGACCCCTTCCACTGGGCGTGGCTCCCTCAGGCCAAAGTCCCCTTCTCTCAGGAGACCAGAGACCTGGTCCTGTCCCGCCTCTCTGATATGAACTTCGTCCAGGACCTCTGTGAGGACCTCTATGAGATGTTCAAGGTACAATTAATCACTTTAGCACAGAGCAGCTGATTTATTTAGTGTTTTCTTGCATAGAATACTGGCTAACATCAGTATGTTGTTGTTTTTTGTCTTTAGACAGATAAAGGTTTCGACAAAACTATGTTTGAGAGACAGATGTCTGTTATGAGAGGCCAGGTGAGTTTAACTCTTGACCAACACATTTTTAAAAATTACCATCATTTTTTTACCCTTTTATCTGTTTATGTTGATTTTTTTTTTCTTTCTGATCATCTTTCTTTGGCTGTACTCTGTTATTACCACGTGTTCCTGCTGTTTCCTGCTTCACTTTGTATTTCTGTTTTGTTTCCTTTCTTACTCTTTGTGTGTGTTTTTAAGCCCTAAACAAATCCATTTTACTCTTGAATCCATTTTTTCCCCAGGTGTTGAACCTGACTCAGGCTCTGAAGGACGGGAAGAGCCCCATCCAGTTGGTGCAGATGCCCCGGGTGGTGGTGGAGCGCAGCCGGTCGGGCGGCCAAGGACGAGTGGTCACACTGGGCAACGCGTTCACACAAACCTTCCACTGCAAGAGGCCCTTTTTCACATCCTGGTAGTGTGAGAAGCCCGAGGAGGGAAGCTAAGGACAACATTCTGGAAGTGCTTGGTTTTGTTTTAAAGGCAGTCCTATAGCATGCAAGGGGAAAATAAATGAGGGTAAAATCTCACTGAAGACGGTGCGGATGTGCTTTTATGAGGAAGGAAAGATGCAATCAGCAGAAAGCAGGATGGAAAAATGTTTAAGGGCATTTTAGTCAAAGGGGSYGTCTTTTGTAAGAAAAGTGGAAGCTAACAGTATTAGCACACACTGTCTTTATCTGAGGAAGACCCTAGGGCTGGTTGTTTACGCTGKTGACTCGTTGAATAATAAGCTTTTTTTAAACAGGTTCAATTTTAGATTTTTTTAATTCACTCAAAATATCATTTGCAGTTTCTTGCATGGACTTTCAGAGGCTTAATTGCCAAAGAAACAACACTTCCTTACTCCAGATATGCAGCCCTGCAGTGCTGACTTCTTTTCACAGATCTCTTCAGAAAGGGAAACATTCTGCAGTTTGTAACTGGACCTCATCTGGGTTAAAGCGCTCAAAATACTGGCTTTGCCTTGTAGGAAGACCTTTTGACCTAAGTGCACGTTTGTACAGCTGAAAGTGTTTATCTAGTTTCCCAGGAATGGTTCAAACCACCTCTCACCCGTTTTTAGTTCCCTCACACATTAACAGTGTCTTCAGATGTCTGTACTGCCAAATGGACTTATTGAAGGAATAATGAAAAAGCTCAAGCGATGAGTATTGCTGAAACTTGAGTTTGGAGGAAGAGGACTGGGAGCGGGGGTGGAGGCATGTTGCTTGAATGTAATCTGTTTACGGTTTTTTACACAAACTCTTGCTCCAAACATTTCAYTAGAAGAGAATGCTGCAGAAATGGACTTCTTATAACATTGAATGTATTTGTTGTTTGAAACGTATTTAACTGTGGGCAGCTTTCTCTTACCCCCCGCCCCTCGAAACAATTTTATGAGGGAAAAACAATTGAATTTTCACTCTTTGCTCGATGCCGTTGTTTTCTTATGAATGACTTTTGACATTTTTGTTCCAACTCAGTGATTGTATAATAGAAGTTGTATATTTAACTGATTACAAATAATAAAATTTAATTATTCTTTTCATTTAGTAACTTTGTTTCTGTCTTTGTGGACCTGAGTAAACAGCAAGTTTAACTGTAAATTCTGCTTTTTCATTTAAATTTAGAGCAACGTCTTGTGCATGCTTTTAAATGCACAGCTGTGTGTTGGCATCAAAATGACAAGACTGAAAAAATACATATTTAGGGCAACGGGGTTTGTTTACAGATCTGATATTTCTATTGAAAACAAGCATTTTTGTTTAAAAGCAAAGCTTTATACCTTTTGTAATTAAAAAAACAATAAAACAACTGTTTATTGTAAATTCTTTAGGTAATTGGCCATAACTGTAATGTGACAATTTTAGTGCAAAATCAACTTTAATAGTAGCATTGACTAAAGATCTGAATAATTTGTTCTTAAGTAAATAAAAATCTGAGTTCTTTGAACAAGTCGAGCCGCTTAAAATCGGCTGACTCTTGGACTGTTGTGCTTCTGGTTCCACTAGATGGCGTCAGATATCAGATCAGTCAGTTGCTCCAGACTGACCTTCATGCGTAAAATCCAAACAGACTTGACTCTTCCTGTGGACTCACTCAGCTGAAGCTGCATCTCTTCAGACCAGACACCTCCTGGGTTGAACTGATTTAKCCGGCATGTATTTATGAGAGCAGAGGTTGCTCATTATTCTGGACTCCACTGTTATAAAAATGCACTTATTCCTGCGCGCAGCTGCTGTTCTCCTTTTTACGCACGGCCTCGCTGGAGCCGCGCGCTCGGACAAATGCGCCTCCCGGTGTGACGTGAGCTCGTGTCCGAGCCCCAGCTGTCCCGGCAGCGGGTACGTCCCGGACAGATGTAACTGCTGCCTGGTGTGCGCGCCGCGCGAGGGGGACCCCTGCGGCCGCAGGAACGACCTGCCGTGCGGGGACGGCCTGGAGTGCAAGCTGCTCCCTGCGGGGAGGCGGCGAGGCACCAAGGGGGTCTGCCGGTGCATGCTGGAGCACGAGGTGTGCGGGAGCGACGGGAAAACGTACGGGAATGTGTGTAAGATGAAAGCAGCGAGCCGGAAAGCCGCGAACAAGGGGAGAACTGCTGTGATCCAAGCGCACAAAGGAGCGTGTTCACCTCCAGCCACAGGTAGGATTCATCACAGATCCAGACTCAAAGATCCAGATTCATCACAGATCCAGACTCAAAGATCCAGATTCATCACAGATCCAGACTCAAAGATCCAGATTCATCACAGATCCAGACTCAAAGATCCAGATTCATCACAGATCCAGACTCAAAGATCCAGATTCATCACAGATCCAGATTCAGAAATCCAGACTTTTCACAGATCCAGACTCTGGATAAGATGGAAACCAGAAAAGTCCTGAAGAAAAAAATAATAAAAAAAGGCTGTAAGTTAATTAATTATGTAATTAAATCAAGTGCTCGATAAAATTCGTTTTAACTTTTAAGTTTCTAAATTAGTTACTTTTTTTTCTCAGAAAAATAGAAACTGGTGATGATGGGCTGTAGACTTAACCTCATGCTTTAATTAATTAAATTTGAGGTGCACTTCAAAATAAGCAAATAGTTCAAACATTTTGAGGATTTCTCTGTTTTAAAAGTGTAAAATATTGTATTTAACTAAATTCTGTTAATGTAAATTATCTGGGAAAACATTGGAAATAAATATATTTAAAAGATTCCCGCAGGTCTTAAACTGTGATTTATCTTTCCGGCCATGACTGGATCATTGAGCTCGTTGTGTTGTTCCTGTCAGTGCAGATCAGTCCCTGCTCCATCCCAGCAGCCCTCGCTACAGGTTCAACTTCATCGCTGATGTAGTGGAGAAAATCGTGCCTGCTGTCGTCCACATCGAGCTGTTTTTGAGGTGTGGGATGTGAGAGTGTGCACTGAGTGGGACATCAGGTGTGAGTTTGATGTATAAAAGAAGAAATCTGACTTCACCAGCCTGCTGCTGTTTTATCTGTCAGGACTGTCTGAGGTCCTCGTTTAGTATCATTTATTTTTCTTCAAACTGTCACAATTGTTTGTTTTTTTTCTTCCCAGGCATCCTCTGTTTGGTCGCCACATGCGCCTGTCCAGCGGCTCTGGTTTCATCGTGACCCACTCAGGCGTGATTGTGACCAACGCTCACGTGGTGACCACGGCTGCCTCGGTGAGCGGGAGGCCTCAGCTGCGCGTTCAGCTCCACGATGGCGACGCCTACGAGGCTGTGGTCAGAGACATCGACAGGAAGGCAGACATCGCCACCATTAAGATCAATCCTCAAGTAAAAAATAAAATTCATGAAATTCTTTGTTTTCCCCTCCTCTGCTTCTTAAAACAGTAAATGAAAAGCTTCCCAGCATGCTTTTTTTGTGCCAAGATTTAGCAGCTTCTTGCTAGACGTTCAGAAGTCTTGCGGAAATACTTGTATAAACACGGACTCAGTGAGTCACAGCCACAGCACTGATGTGTGTCTTCTCACACCCACATCTCAAATATCTGGACTGTTCTGTAAGCTTTGAACTCTTCCTCCTTCTCTTCCTCCTCTATTCTATATGCAGTCTTTGCATTTGTTTTATTTTCAGCACAACTTGTCTGACATGTTTCTGTCTGTGTTTGGAATCTTGTGTGTCCTCGTGGGAGCAGAAAAAGCTTCACGTGCTTTCTTTGGGCCCCTCGGCCGATCTCAGACCCGGAGAGTTCGTCGTCGCCATCGGCAGCCCTTTCGCCCTGCAGAACACCGTGACCACTGGCATCGTCAGCACGGCACAGAGAGACGGCAAAGAGCTGGGCATCAGGGACTCCGACATGGACTACATCCAGACCGATGCCATCATCAATGTGAACACAAACACAAAAAGCATGAATGTGATCAATACTTGCATGTTTTTTTTTAATTAGATCATATAGTATTTGTTGTTAAGGTTATCCTTGTGTGTGTCTTTCATTCTCATCAAGTATGGTAATTCTGGAGGACCTCTTGTTAATTTGGTAAGTTTTGTCCTTATGTTTTATTTAAAAAAAGGTTTTTGGTCAAATGATGCAGAAATCAGAGAGGTGTTTATGGTTTCCAAAAAGATTTTCATGTTTTGAATCACCTGACCACAGAACGGATGTGTTTGTTTTCTGTCAGGATGGGGAGGTGATCGGCATCAACACTCTGAAAGTGACCGCAGGAATTTCTTTCGCCATCCCCTCAGACAGGATCAGCCGCTTCCTCACTGAGTCGCAGGCCAAACACAGCGAAGGTGGGGGGTCTCAGACTGAGAGCGGGGGGTATTCCTTTGAAACATTTTTGAATGATCATATAATCATTCACCTTTTGTTTCTCACTGATTTTCATCCTGACTGCTGCTGAGACAGAAAAGCTTAGGCTGCAGAGGAGGCGTGTGGAAGATCCACAGTCGGATGCAGGTGAGAGCTGCTGATGGAAGTGTTTTTTTACCTAAAGCCTCGTTTGAGACAAACCTTCTACCTTTGTGGTTCTTTCAGAGTTATCACAAGGGAAGAAATATTTTATCGGCATCAGGATGATCACAGTCACTGCAGCGTGAGTTGAAACATCTGCACACAAATGCAATGTTTTAGGCAGGCTGAACGTGTTAAACCATGTTTGTGTGTTTCAGTCTGATAGCTGAGCTGAGACATCAGAACCCAGACTTTCCTGATGTCAGCAGTGGAGTCTTTGTGCAACACGTCCTACCTAACACTCCAGCAGACAGGTATCTATCTATCTATCTATATTATATCTCTCTATCTCTCTCTCTCTCTTCCTTCCTTGTTTCCTGCCTTCCTTCCGTCCTCCCCTTCTTCCTTACTTCCACCATATTAGAACCAGTCTTTGGTCCCCAAAAGGACCATTAGTCTTAACAAGGTATAGGTGTGTATACCAGAAATGGTTCTAAAACAGTAACAAGTACACAAAAGAAACTATGCACTACTAGTCACAAAGTGATTTTGTCAACGACATTAAGCTTCTCTTGTAAATACAGCTTCTACATTTGAAGTATTTAACAACTATGAATCAAATTTAGATCGTTTACAGTGGAACAGTTTGTGTTCATGTAACCTATCTGATAATTTAGTCCCTTTATCTCTTAAAACATCAGCCTCTGAAAGTGAGAAATTTAGGAGAACGTCCCAACAAGATGCTGATGCTGACTCAGCACTCACAGAAGAATGAAATGAAAAACTTTGATAGAGTTGTTGTTATTTCAGCGTGTGGTTAACATGTGTAACGTGTGTTCTCCTCTCTTGTACATCAGAGGGGGCATCATGGCCGGAGATGTTATACTGAAGCTGAACGGACTGCCCGTCCACAATATCTCAGACATCTACAACGTGCTGCAGAGCCAACGTTCACTTCTACTTGAGATCCGCAGAGGAAATGACGACTTACTGTTTAACATCCACCCTCAGCAGCTGCTGCATTAAAAACAGGACTTTTTTTTCCTGGTGTGAGAAGTTTACTGTAAGGAGTTGTTGAAAAACAAACTCGTGGAGAATTTCACTAATCAGAACAGTTTGTGTCAAACTCTGCTCATGCAATAATGTGTAATTAGTTACTTTTTATTTGCAAAGGTGATGAATTCTTTCATTTGTGCTTTGACAAATGCAGAATGCTTCTGAGTGGAATCTGCTGTAGTTAACACTAAAGGTGCTTCAAAAAAAGTTTTTAAAGAAACATCTGCACTGCTGTGTTTGTTTATCTGTCTGGTTTGCAGGGATGTGAGCTGTGAGTTCATCTCTTCTGTTTATGTCTTCTTCTCCCTCCTTTTTCCTCTCTGGCTTGGAAAAAAATGTTCTTGTAATTTAAACAAACCAAAGCCAACAAATAATGGCTGAAGACAAACAAAGAGGACAGTTCTGGTGCTGCAGGAGTCACCTCTCTCTCCTGTTTTAGTGACAAACACTTTGAAAATTTGAGTCTTGAAGTTATGGATCATGAAGCTAGTTTGCTTTTTTGGTGATAATGTTCCTGTGTGTTATAGAAACTTAAAAAACTCGGGGACTACGTTTATCTTTGTCACATCTGCTTCAAAGCAACACTAAATAACTTGAGCAAACTCTCTGTAGTTTATCAGAAGAGAAGGAAATAAGATAAAATCTGCTGTGGGTAAATTACTCAGAGGTCTTTATTTGGCATCCTCTAAGCAGAAGTAAATTTGTTTGTTGCTGACTTAGTTATTTAACTCGGTTTTCCTTTAGATTGCAAAGAAAATCCCTCCTACATGACATCTCTGAGGCAGGGAGTGAAAACAGCTTTTTATGCTTTTAAAGGCAAAACTCCAGCTTTAAACCTGTCAGTGAGTTTAAATCATAAACAACCTACAAAAAGAAAACCACTCTTCTTTAAATTATAGGTATGTCCTCAATGTATACTGGGAGACTCCAGGTCCTGCTCTGAGGAAGAATAAGTAGAAAAGGCTCAGTGCAACACAACTGATGATTCATAAATCAGCCACTAGGTGGCGCTTTAGGAACATCAAATTTGTTCTTGACGTGGCAACTCTTTAGCTGCTGACATTTTACTCAACTTAAACAGTTTAGTTTCAAAAACAGTTTTCTCATTTCTGATAGGATGATTTTGGTCAAAAATTCAGTATTTAATAGTTAGGGAGTGAAAATAATTGATTTGTTTTTATTTACGAAGTCAAACATCCTGTTATTATTAAAGATAAATGTTTCAGATACCAGGAGCTTTAGGATAACATGTTGACAGATGTGTTCAGGAATTATTTCTCATCTGGTTTTCATCCCTTCCTGTTTTCCATATTTGTATCTCTGTTTTTTTCCCTCTGTTTGTTGATGAATTCCACACTTCATTCAGCCTCAGCATCACTTTGTTCCCCACCTGTTATCTCTGTTTGAGCTCAGGTTTCAGGTCCTCAAGCCGTCCACCTGCAGGAGAGGCAGCCGTGGAGAAGAGTGAAGCCAGGACTCGTGGGTTTCTCAGAAGGCTGCAGATGACATTCATGATGCTTGTGAGTAAAAGATTAGGTATTTATAGACAGCAGCAATCATAATGCCTGATATAAAGTCAAACTGTGAGTCACTGTGACCTTCCAACCTGATGACATTTTGAGTGTCTTCAGTTAATGAATGTGAACCAGCATCATCTTTCTGATGCTTTAAAAACAAACAATCAGCTCACATGACTCAGACTAACCTGTCATCAGGACACTCTCTTTTAAAAACACAAATACTGAACTATATAATGAACACTCAATAAGTGACAGGAAAAAATAATCTAAAAGCAGAGTGTTTGCCCTGAAACATACAGTATGTTAAAACTTGAAAAAGTGTTGAATGGCGGAGAAACAGAAGCAAAGGTCATAACTTCTTCCATCTGTTTGTAATTTTACTCCACTGAATGACTCAATGCTGTGCCGATCACAGCTGTGGCTAACTTACTGTAGGAAGAAAAAAAAGGAGCACAGACCTGCAGGAGACTTTTTAACAATCAGGACTTTTTATTAACTTTTTACACAAACAACCTCGGCCTAAAGTGAACTAGAGAAATTGCATTTCCTGCAAAAATGCTAATGTGAAAGCCTTTTTAAAAAGCTGCTGAAACTGAGCTGAATTTTTTTAATAGAAAAGGAGTTAATGCAAGATCTTTTTGCAAAGCGGAAAGATTAACTTAGCAGAAAACAGTAAAAGCAGAATAAAAGCTAAAATTAGCATAAAACAAGCTAAAGGTAGCAGACACAAGTTGAAATTAGCACCCAGGTTGTAAAAGGGGTGTTAATAAAGTCAAAATAGCAGAAAAAAGTGTAAAAGTACAACAAAGTGACAAATTGTAAAATAGCTTAAACAGCCAAAATGTGCAGTCATCCAGCTAATATATGTAGCTGAATTTTTTTTAAATTAGCAAAATAAAAAGAAAAGAACATTTGTTGGCTAAACTAAGTAAAACATAGCTGAAATAGCCACCAAAATGTAAATTTGGCTTAATTAATAGCTGAACATTAGCTAAAATTGCAGCAAATAGCTGAATATAGCAGAAAGCCACTGTAAGAAGCAGAACTAGCTCAAATTAGCTGAAAGAAACACAGAAAGTAGAGAATAACAGAAAAATGGCAGAAAGAAGCAAAATTATAGCTGAAATAACAGAAAAAAGCTAAAACTAGCAAATCAGAAAATAGCTGAATAAAGCAACATAAATAGGTCAAATTAGCTGAAAGAAGAAAAAAGTAGAAAATAACAGGAGAATAGCAGAACGAAGCAGAAATATAGCTGAAATAGCAGAAAAATAGCAAAAAAAGAAGCTAAAAATTAGCACAAAAAAGTTAAAAAGAGCAGAACCAGATCAACGTGAAAGGTGCTGTAAAGATTTAGAAACATTTTGAAGAATTTTAAGGATGTTGAAAACAGCTCCATTTATTTTAAACGGGAAAAATGTGGTTGAAAAAGTGAAAAAGCTAAAAAATAAAAAATAAATAGCTAAAATAACAAAAGTCGTAGTCACAATGGCTTTAAAGAGATGAATGTTCCGATATATGAATTGTTAAAATAGAACAAAAACTGTGGAATGAGGTACGTGCCAAAAAACACGCTGAAGAAAATGGTCAATAGTGTGAATGATTGTGAAACATTCACATTATTTTGGTTAAACCCACAACTGAGCAGCAGCTTAAAAAGTATCCATGTCAGGTTGTTTTATGAATTTTCCCTTCCTACCTCACTGCTGTGAATGTGATCACTCAGTTTCTATTTGCTTTCAGGGCAAAGCTGGACATGCAGGAAAAAGCATGTGTACGCTCTTCTGACAGCTACTTAAAGACGTCTCTGAATATTTTCTGGAGGCTACATAGTTTCAGAAGATTCAAGGAGGTCTGGAATTCCTCTCAAAGCCTGATATATTTTTACTCTTTTTTTCTCTGGAAATACCAAGAGTGTATGAAAAAGTGAATAAGAGTGTTTGGCTCCACTCTGCCTGTTTTATTTTTTTTTACCATCGTCTTTTACAGATAGGAGGAAAGGTTATATAAACGATGAAGAAATCAAATAAAATGCTAACAGTAAAAGTAGTTTTACTGTCAGATTAATTCATTGCAGCTCAGTGATCAGTACTGCAGTCTGTATTGGCTGACAGCTGTCTGTTATTTCAGTAGCAGGTAACTTTTTTCTGCATAATAGATTTCAACGTATTTCATATTGCAGGATTTAAACACTGTGATTGGCTATCTTAACTGGAAATGTCTGTCAACACTGAAGAGTGACGTCTTTTTTTTCCACTGCTGGCAAAAATCATACAAAGCAGCATTTCTGTCAGGATTTGGTGAATGAACAATTGTCAAAGTTTATTGCTGAGCTAACACTTATTAGATGCCAAAACTAAAACAGCATCTGTTTCCTATTAATCCCAGTTTATAATCAAGTTGTTTTTACTGACCCTTTTATGAGAGTTTTAGCAAATTTAAAGAGAAAAAACCTCATCTTGGGAACGTGGACCTGGTTTATTTTCCAGAATGTTACGCAATCCTTCTTTGAAAAAACAAACTGTGATATGAAGCAACCCCAGCTCCTTGTACCGTCAGTTTTATGTGAGCCAAAAGATGATTGTTTATTCATTCCAGACTCATACTTTGTGTCTAAATCTACATGATCTGTTTTCTAAAATCTGTTCTGTTAAATAACTGAAGGAGAGGTGGGCAGGAAAAACACTGTCAGAGGGGACTGAGCTGGTTGAAAACATAATCAGGTGAGAGGGGAAGAAATGCAGGTATTTTAAGAAAGTACTAAATACTTCTGCAACGTGTTCTGGTTCAGGTATGTTCATGGTGTTTCAGTTCATTTTTTATTTGAAACTCAAACTCTGACTTTTCACTTTGAATGGGATATTTACTTGATTTTACTTGATTTGGTAGTTTTTTCCACCTCAATCTCCTTCAGAGTAAAAAAAAACTGCAGTTGAGGGTTTCAGTGGAGACTTGAGGTTCTGCCTGATGAATCTACTTGATTTAGTGGTGATTTATTTTTATTTTTTTTGCTTTTCATTTTATTTTGGAGGAGACACCTTTTTTAAGCCACTTCAGTAGAAAACAGAACTGAATATTAGTTTCTTCATCATCAGTGACTTTAAGGAGAAGAAGAAAAAGAAAGAAGAAAAAAAGCAGAGTTGTATGTAATGAATTGGCAAGAATGAACCCAGGGTGCAGGCAGCTCCCAAAAGGAAACAATAAAGATTTATTAAACAAAAATTTGCCAACCAGGCTGCTCAAAAACTCATTTGTAGCAAAGCAACAAACATACAGGCTGTGAACAGCACAATGATCAGACAGGGAAGTGAAGACAAGACACAGAATATAAAGGTGAGACTAACGAGCACAAACAGGAAACACCTGGGAGAGAAACATGAGGAGCAGGTGAGAGGGGGCGGGGCTGGAGCAAAGGCAGACAGGAGGAACAAAACAGATGACAAGACAGAAACTAAAATAAAACATTAACACACACAACAATCATAACATTGTAAAGTAACTAAGTACAAATACTTCTTTACCGTACTTAAGTAGAATTTTTGGGTACTTGTACTTTACTTGAGTAATTATTTTTCAGCCTACTTTTTACTTCTACTTCTTACATTTTCACACAGTTGTTTGTTTCTACTCCTTACATTTTTAACAAAAAGCAAGAAGTAGAAAGTCATTCATTCCAGCTTGTTATTGTAAAAAAAATTAAAACTATCCATAT